AAAGGTCCCAAAAAATTTCTGTAAAATTTTGCAATTTCTGTCAAAAATTCTAATAATTCATTCCAAGTATCTAGGAGATACGTAAATCAATAAAAAGAGAAATTTGAGCTCTCAATTCCTTTAAAAATCTCTCCAAAAATCGTTAAAAAATCAAATTAAAAGCGACACAAAAATGCGGGTTAATTTGAAACGTCCAATAATGGATATAAAAACTGTGCTTCATCGTTCAGAATATTCGACGACGAGAGAGAGAGAGAGAGAGATCGAAGCGCGAAAAGTGCGTTTCCGGCGGCGAGTGCGCATTTCCGGTCAAGCGAGCGCGCAATTTCTTGATCGAAACGTGCGAGTATGGGACGAAAATTCGTGCGTCACTCGGCTAGCGATTTACAGACTGGACAGAATGATCCTTGACGTGGTTGACTGATTGGCCCGAGACGCGTGTACAACCGTGAACCGCGTGTTCAAACATCGAAACACCGAGTTACGCGACATTTGAAATGGAAGTGACACTCTTGTGAAATTCGACGTGTTGATTTTATCATAAATTAGAACTGCGCGTGATTAGAGTACCGTTGGATTATTGTAATTGTTGCTCGCCTCGTCAACTTTTGAGAATTTAACGATGAATCGTTGTTCTTTTCTTGTCACTTGGATATATGGACCGTTTATTTTGAAAGTGGTGTAGGTCCATTTTTTTCAAAAAAACGAGATATCACATAATTTGTGATTAATTTAGTGCAAACTTTTTATTTATAAAAAAAAAATAAAATGGACTCGCACCACTTTCAAAATGAACGGTCCATATTATTATTACTTGCCTCGTCAATTTTTCAGTGTCTAATAATAAATCATAGTTCTTTTCTTCTCATTTGGATATATTATTGTGAATTTTTCAATGTCTAGTAAATACTTTTTTATTAGCTTTTCGTCGTTTTGATATGCGTGGTTTTGAAAGGACAATTTCATTTTTGTGAAAGTGTATTTCGTACAGATTTACACTATGCTTTTGTAAAGAATAAAGTATACAGTTCTAAGAAATTGTTGAGAAAATTGTACTTCCGATGAACACGAAGAAACAAACGAGACTTCTGTTATTTAGACGTTACGAAGAAATAAGCGTAAAATTAATTCAGAGAATCTTTGCGGCGTGTTTGCATAAATCTTAGAATTTCAATTTCAATTTACTTCTACTTCCGTTCTAATGAATTTTCAGCTTCTCCGAAGTAAAATACAAAATCCCGGATATTCGCGGGAAAAAGAATTAGAAACAGTCTTTTCGAATGTTCAAATAAATCTTCGAGTCTCTATTCGAATTTTCTCCAATTTATTTCTATCTTCATTCTAATCAATTTTCAGCTTCTCTGAATTAAAAATAAAAAAAAAATGTCAAATATTTATAGAAAAAAAAAGGACTGCAAACAGTCCTTCGAGAAGACTTGCCTGTCGATTCGAGCGCCGATCAAGCACTCTCGTATGCAAAGAGAGGAACGAACAACGGCCCGGTTACAAGCGAAAGTTTATCGAAAAAAATGAAAAAGGAGGAACGTGGAGAAGAAAAACACGAGTACACACGCGCTTATAAACTCCTCACAATGCTCCCTCATGAATATCGCGCGTTTGTCATTTCTCGATGTAATGCAATGCGCTTGTCGGCTAGATTCTGGACGTCATCTATCGCGTTCGCGGATCTACGATCGATGATCCGCAGAATGACGTCGCGTCGCGAGATAGCAGCGTCATCGGTTCACGGTTCGCGATGCACGCTTAATAGTCCCCTTTGTCAACTGTCCAGGGTGAAACTTTGATCGAGGATAAATTATAAGTTTTGAATAATTGAACACCTATTTTGTCGTCTTTTTTATTTTGTCCCTGAGAACCCGAGAAGTCGTTCAGTTTTCCAAGGTTTCTTTTTCGAATTTAATTAAGTACCAATTTAATTGAACACCTCTGCTGGAGGATAAAGTATGAATTCG